ATTCCCGCAAACTCTAACGGTGTGCACGCGAGCTGTGCCGTGTGACTGGTGCAGAGTCAGTAGCATCAGCGGTAGCCGTTTTTTTTTTTTCATTCAGCTGGACCAGGTGGCAACGCGATGTTGTGCGCGACACAAACAAGCGGCAGACGAGCCGAGAAAGCCTAGACGCAGCAGCGGTGGGTCGTTTCTGGTGTGCTGCCAACTTTTGCGAACCCAACTTCTGGGCGCCCTATAGTCTCCTGGTCTGTGTCAGCCGCCACACAAGACGGACCATACGCACAGCTCATGGCGGATACGTTTGTCATCGCTGTTGCTTGGGTGGGTGGCGAGGGGGCATCGATGAACCAAAGTTGCGACACGGGCGAAAGAGCAAAAAAGCTGCTTGAAGAAGACGAGCGGGTCATTTACCCCGCTTGGCCACGACTCTAGCGCTTACAATTTTTAGAGCGCGCTTCAGCCTCCTGTTCTGTGTTAACCACCGCACAAGACCGACCATACACACAGCTCCTGGCGAATACCTTCGTCATCGCTGTTGCTTCAGTAGGCGGCGAGGGAGCACCGATAAACGAAAGATGGGACACGGGCGAAAGAGCAATAAATAGTGGTTGCCGGCGCGGTGGGTATTGCTCCAGCTTGCTGTTGACTGTCGCCACCTCAGTTTCCGTGCCTCAAATCGCCCTGCGGTCTCTAGCAGACACCACACAAGACGGACCATACATACAGCTCATGGCGGATACCTTTGTCATCGCTGTTGCTTCACTCTCTGCGGAGAGATCACCGAAAAACCAAAGCGGTGGAAGGGGTATATATGTGTGACGAACGGCCGTCGCAGGGTCTCTTTTTTCGGTCGATGACTCGGAAGAGAAAAAACGATCGAACAGCACCGTAAGAAGGGGGTCATCTTCTTTGTAGATCCTTTTTTGGGTCGTCCCTTTGGGGGGAAAAAAGATCTCCAAAAAAAGACACCGCAACAAATGGCCGTAGTCCGTGTGTTTTGACCCAGGGTCCAGCTTGCTCGAACTTCAGTTTGTTTGCACGCGTTGATCCAGCCACACTGCACATGTGCAACAAAGTGAGTTGGTCCGCTGAGGTCCATGCCTCAGTCATCCACAGCGTGGTTCCGGAATATTGCGTGGAGTACGGTTATTTACCTGAAGATGGAGGGGAAACCACACAACAGAGTTTACCCGGGTCGAAAAGCGACTCAACGGGGTATGCCCTGGTCGAAAAGCGGCTCAACCAGAACATAATATTTAGCAGCGTGAAATGAACCCAGATTATTGGTCAGCGCCCACTTTCACCCCGCCGCGTCCTAAAAAGCGTGGGGCAGGCCCTGCCGTGTCTACTTTTCTCCAGACGTGTACACGTGTACCCCGGTTTCGGAAACGTACCGTGACCTGACGGGAAATGAGACCCTTTCATCAGCCATTTCCTCCGTAGAGACCCTTTCCCGATCATTTTCCCCTCCAACCACGGGATACCAAACACCGACTCTTCCCGACTAAAAGCAACTATGGCAACTGGGCAGAAACCGATCAGGACGGAGTTTCCGCCCCTGCAAAACAACCCCAACCATCAACCCTTCCCGCTCTAAACAAGCGATGGCTGGCAACGCCAGCACAATTCCGTGTGGCAAGCAACCGACACCTATCTTGCAATGCGTACGCGCAGTATGTAGACTGTGTGAGGTAGAATTTACGCGAGATACGGGTCACGCTTAGAATGCGAGACCGATCCAGCATCACCAAATAATGGACTATGCAAATACATGGTACGTACTTAGCACCCCGCACGTTTCCAACCTCTTCTTTGTCTCGACGCGATGACGTCACGAACGGAAAAAATTACTTACACTTGTACGAGGTACATAGAACGAAGGTGCTGCTGCTGCTTCTGTGTACATGTACTAGTGGAAGACTCCAACCCTCTTCACGATATTTTCAACGTAAAAACTTTTTAAACCGTTCTCGACTAGACGCGAGCCGTAAACTTGTCGTGACCCCGGGCCGGGATGGTCACGCGCGGTCACGCCAAGAGGCAACGGGTTGACAAGTTTTATTTCGTGACCTACGATAAAATCGCAGTCAGTCACTTGGCCCTGCGAAACCTTTGTTTCCCTGGTCCGGGCTTCCTCCATCCCTCTTATTCTTGTCGATGTTTCTCGGCATGTACATATGAAGGCGTTACGAACGCTTGCGATGTAGAAGTATATGCACAAGGACAATACACAGACATCCCCGTGAAATGTATGATGTCCTCGAAAAATCTGAAGTGGGAAAAAACCAAAAATAAGAAGGAGAGTCTCTTTCTCGTAGGGTGTGATATCTTGTGTCACCTACGGTATTGAGCTATTATATATGCACCTATTCAAGACATCTACGGTAAATTATCCGAAAATGATGGTCAGACTCAACCATGACTAAATGACTCCTGGAGCTACCAACCCGGCAGGAAAACGATTAGGAAAACGTCAAAGCGTCGCAGTTCATCCTTTGAGAAACAACCCGATGCGAATCATTTGTTGTTGCGTCCTCCAATCGTCCGACGAACAGCGCCGGGCGTTCAGTTTATCCTGGGTCCATCAGGATAGAATTCCGTGGTGGAGTAGTCGGAGCTACATAGTTTAGCGGTTTTGGACCGTGGCTCGAGTCGAAAATGTCGGTGATTGTCAACCCGGAGCTCGGGCCACAATCGGAATTGCGGAAACCGAACCACTTACTACAACAGATGCCCAAACTTTCGCAACGCTGGCGCGCCTCCATATGTGATATACGTCTTGCGTCATTCATGAATATGTTTCCCACCACCGGAATCCCACCAGTGTGCCGCACATGCGTATAGAAATCGGCCGCCCGGAACTACATACAAACATAACACCGTTCCAGTATAACGTTCGGTGGTGACTCCCCTCGTGTATGCATTCCATAGCCGATGCTTCGAAGGCGGAGTTCAATGCATCTACATCAAGCGCAAGTCCACCCATCCTCAGCATGCGCGAAAGGAGCAACTGCGTGGTCCGGCTGGCACGCAGTCGACGGAGTTGCTGCGCCACTCGTTATCTGGCGCAGTCCTGGCTCGCGGCACCCTGCCTTTGAAGAGGTCAGTCGTCTTCATTCGCCGCTGTTGGTTTTCAGACTACACTGGAAATTCTAACAGTCCTCTTGCGCTTGAGTCACAACACGAGTATTTGCACCGTCACATTCAAGCTTAACGCCAGTGGAATCAAGAAATCGTGGGTGCAGGAAAGAGATGAACGAAACCGTTGACAAACGGCTGCTTTGGTGCATACCTGTAGCTCGCTAGAGTCAGCTTCATCGTCGACCGTCACCTCCAGACACATGAAACACATGGTAGACGCAAGGTATGAGCTCAAGGAGGACAGAGGGTGTTCTCGACGTTGAAGAGGCATCCAGCTCTTGCATGTGATGTCAGGTGGTAGCTTTTCCCACGGTTTCCCGACGTCCATACGCATGTTCTGCTGTACCAGGTGCAGGTTGAGCGCATCTCCGGCGACCGGACTTGTGGGCATGCAGGAGAACGCATTTCTCAGCGACTTTTTCGGCTGCGTGGGTTTCCTGCCACTCACCACCCGGAGGTGCCCAGAACTCATTGATGGTATACACTACAAGGGTAGTAGCTGCACCCTGCCGCCGCCGAAAGCATCTCATTGCGTCCCTTTTCAACGCTCGTCAATGTGTTGTCGAGGAGGGTCATCGATTCGTCGGGGCGATGGTAGCTCGTACCCTTAAAACGAAGCGCCTGATTCAAGATTCCTGTGCGGTTGACTGCTTTCGCCAGCCACATTCGTGGAGCGATGGTGAGGATGATGGCTAACTTCGCTGCCCAACATCAGCTGGGCGCTCGGCACGACGCCCCCGATCAAGGCCAGCTCGGCGGCATCTTCTCCGAGGATGGATTCACCACGGGAAATCAGCTTTCGACGGGCCCATCGGCTTGCACGTTTTGGTGTGCAGTTGGTGTTGGGGCCCTTGTGAAGGGAAGCCCTGTCGAGTCGGTGAGAAAGTGCCGTATTTTTCTTTGGCTACCGTGAACGAGGAGAACCACCGTTGTTCCCTGTCGCATTGAAGGTGCTCAGCCTTGCTTGGTACAACCGCTACAACCGCTGATTGTTGCATTCAGCTAACGACCCACATCCTACTGTTCTTATTACGCAGAAGCGCTTGTGACGCATAGATCATGATTTTATTATGGTTTTGGCTTACGTTTGTGTTATTTCACCCTACATCATCCAATACGGCTTGGCGCATGACAAAACACACATGCTGAAACCATTGCCCGTACAGCATAAAGCACATGCTTCCGTCGCGCGTGTTGGCGAGATGGCATTGGGGCACGTCGGTAAAGACGAAAAAACTTGACATGTCCAACATTCTTCCGTATTCCCTGGTTTGCGTATCATCGCTGTTTGACCTCATAATCTTGAGGTACGATCCCACACTCGATCCACACACCACCAGCACACGTCGCTACCAGTTGGGTTAGGGATGGGATGCCACCGCCTGTTGCGGGTTGCTTGCCATCGCCTGCTGCCAATGAACGTCACCAATATATCAATTATCATTGCGCGACATCATTAGGTCTCGCGAAACGATCGTAGTTCCACCGCAAACCGCCCAATAGTAGTGTGTCGTGAAACTACGACGCGTCACACGACTGCTGTTGCCTTTCCTCCGCTGATAAATTTGCCATATTGTACGGTATTCCTTTCGGCGTGCTTCCCTCACAAAGACGATTCTCCAAGAGTTACAGCGTAGACGCCCACTAAGACCGCTCGGCGTAACACGACGCCTATACGATGATGTGGCCCACAGGTTTACTTTCAAACACAAACCGATCTACCTATACTTGAACGCCAAGACGGTAGTGCGATCCCGGTGGCCGTCCCGCCCCAGGGGCGGGCGACCGCCTACCCTAGTTTCAACCTACGACAGAATTCGCCACGCGAACCAACTGACCGCGAATTGCAACACCTCCCAAACATGTCGCTCAAGGTTGCGATCTATTCCCGACTGGCGAGAGGTGCACTGGACGCCTACACTGGTCCTGTGGATGCTGAGGTGGCAAAGTGAGTAACACGGACAAATTTGCAACACGAACACACGCTGTACCGTGACCCGTTCATAATTTCATCACATTCATCGCGTGGCTTGTATCTGCGAGAATGTTGGTTCGCACTATGTTTGCTTTTGGCCTAGCTCATCATTTCACAAGACTGAAACGAGCAGTCACATGTGTACGCCCAAGTACTCAATGTTTACAATAGTACCGTATGCCACACACGATTCCACACACCCTCCCTGGTTTCGCAAGGCTCGGCATCTGCACATCAGTGCGATTGGCAATACCGACCGACCGAAACGTGTTTGGAAATGCTGAAATCGCACCTTTCGAACGCCACCTTTTGCCATTGATAGTCTTGGTACCTCTTTATATGTACATGTCCAGGGTTCAACCTTAGTCGAGGGTGTGTGGAATCGTGGATCGCATGCTGCAACCTGTAGTCTGTCCCACTCGGCCCCTCACATCGCCAGCCCATCTCCTGTTCCGTCCTCGCGTCAACATCAATCCAGGGCGTGGGCAATCTTAGCATACCTCTATGGTTACATGGGAGACACGGTGAGCTCGACTCCTGTAGGAGTTGCGGCACCCTTTGGCCGTTGTGCCCGGGTGTGCACACGAGGAGCAGCTTCTGTTGCCTGTCGATAGACCCGATCTCTTGACAAAAAAAAAAATTATATCGTCAACGACACATTAGAGTGTGGAAACGGTGTACTCCCACCGGATATCATCAGTTGACCCACCTGCGTTATGTCTTCGCCATCTACAAATGTATTTCGGTGTTTCAGGCGGAGTTTGAAGAGTACCTGGAGCTTGCAGACGCCTTTTTGACTGCTTCCATCGAGCAAGGGTCAACCGACATGCTGCCAGCGGTGAGTGTGGCGTTATTGCCTTCTGTTAGACTGCAGCAAATTCTAGAGCTCCTCTTCCTGCCCGGCGAAACTGGTTCAATGAAACCGACGACCGCTATCGCCCCGAAGAGGACAGGTTGATGAACGCTCTATTCGCCAGCACCACCAATATACAGCAACACAACCAAGATGCACGCCTCTGGGGTTAGCCAGGTAGATTACAGTGAGTATCACGGGACTGGTTGCCATTCCTCATTGCATTGCATTCTGTAGGCGGGGCGTGAGTGTAAACAGCGGCTACGCTTCACGTAGCTGCGGGTTTTCAGCCTTGATCAGCGGACTGAATAGATGGGGTTCTCACCAGCAGCAGGACACAAACATACGGTACCGTCGCCATCCAACAGGAGTCGATGGTCCCATCCACTCATCGCTTCGGGCTTACACGGCCGTTATGCGTGGGGAGGTGTGTGTGTGTGTTCGGCACGAGTAAGAATTCAGGTACACTGTCATGAAAAAGTACTGGGGTTGCCGATGGTGGTTTTACGTAGGTAGCCACGCTGCTGGAGGTGGCCAAAGGTTGAGGTCGATGCATATGTGTGTGTGAGGCGCGCGTTTTGGGGCAGGAAAGTTTGCACGTCCGGTTCAAACGCTACGTTTTGCCATTTGTTTGATTTGACAAATGCTTGTTCGAAACGGTGTGCAACAAATATTTTTGGTTCCAGACGAATCCCCTCGGCAGAACCACGTGGAAACATTTTTTATCGTTTCCAGACAAATACTCTTGGTAGAATATTGTCCAAACATTTGACTCTAGACAAATAATACTCTCGGCAGAATGGTGTGCAAATATTTGTTTCTAGCCCAACACTCTCGGCAGAATAGTGTTCAAATATTTGAGTCCGACCAAAAAACGGGCAGTTGCGGCCGTGCGCAATTGCCATTTGTATTTGTTCACTTGTTTTTGTGCAGGGTGTGAAGAATGTGTGCGTATAGACTAACAGCGCTGCTGACGTCCCAATACGGTTACGGTTTTGAAATCGTGTCCGTCCTGCGAAGTATCAGCACTTTCCCCCACACGCCAAGCCACCTCCAATGTGATTATCGTGGATTGGTGGGTGATTTTCCATGGCCATCGTGCGAGATCATCTCGACTGGCCGTCTCAGAACTTCTGTAGTTACTCACAGGGGTGGATTGGTGCTCTCGGTAACTGCAGAACCGTGAGCGTTGTTGTGGACACTGGTTCACCCAGACGGTTGCATCCAGATCAGTGCGCTAGGTTTGTACGGTTGCTTCTTCTTGCTTCCTTATGCCACGCGGTTCGGCCATCCGACGCCGCCAACCGTTTTGTTCATCTCCACGATGACCTGGTGGTGACTTCCGGTGTAGTTTGACCAATCTGTACCTTCCGGTTCCATGAAGTCAACGAGACGCAACGTTTGCATTGTTTCCACTTCCGGCCACCCCTGTGCTTTGTCCTGCATTATGGCGCGGTCACGCGTACCTGCTGAACTCTCGTACACCCGTATTCATCCTGGGCAGGGATTCGCCGAGATGATCCACTACAAGCAGACCGTCAGGATGCAGTCCGGAAATGTAGATGCTACGCATATCGAGTCTTGGGGCGCCCGACGTCAACATCCTCCGCAGGTGTGTCCTGTACCGTGTACCTCAAACTGATTGACCCAGACGGCACTTTGTGCTGGCAGTCTGGGGCAGCCCCCAGCGCGTCTCCGTGATGGAAGAGCGCGAGCTTCTTAGAGTGCCCGTACCTGAATGGCGTAGTAGGCACTATCGAAACGTACCGTCGAATGAGCCAAGGCGAGCTGGCAAAGGTCACCAAGCAAGATTGGCACTCCACCCGGACAAAGACATAAAAATAACCCCTACAGGCTCTTCCCAAAGAATGACATGGGCAGAAATATCGCTGAATTCTCACTATATTCAATACCCGCGACGGCAAACAACATGTGTAGATATGTGCAGGAGGCTAGGCAGTCATCGAAAGACATCAGCACGGATTCAAGTTAACATGTGCGCGACCGCACCAGTATTCACACCGAGCAACGCAATATAGTATTAAGCGTATGTGCTGTGGCACTTTTATTATGCACTCATACCTGGTGTTTTTGGAATCGGTCGTCATCCGAGATTGAGCAACGAACTCTTCGTTCCTTTTGGGATTTTCTGTACTACGGAACGCGCTACCACGTTACGAACCTGGGAGTTTAGAACATCACGCTCGAGACCTTCGAAACTTAAGACCTTGACGATAAGGACAGGTGCTCAGTCAGGTGAGAATCACAACCATCTGATTGATGTTGGGGTTCCCTACAGTGGAAAGGAGAACAGAGCCTCAGGCTAGACAAGAGGGTCCGAAGTGAAGGTGGCTCCGTCTATACCCTGCCGACTTTGCGGGGTTAGAATAGTTTGCATATTTCTGTCGTCAATTTCTCGGACCTTTGCGGGGTTCACTGTTAACATATCCGATTTCTTTCAAACGCACGAGTCCCGAAACCGACCAAGTCCCCAACTGGTACACACCACTTCACCCACCGACTAGAATCCGAATAGTCCCCAACTCGTCCCCCCACCTTCGAAAAAAGTCTCTTCACGTTCTCTGTAGCTTCCATTCGTTCTCTTGCACGACTTGCCACGGCAACAACGAGCTCTCCTCTCCGCAATTTGACAGAAATATTGATAGAGTGTCTTCCTCTGGTGATCCCGGGTTTCCAAACGAAACTGAGGCATTCACGTTCTTCCGATTCGCATGTACACGTCAGTTTCTTCTTTCTGTTCGACGAAAAATATTTCTCTAACGTTAGGACTTGGAGTGCTGAAGACGGCGTATTTGATAAACGTCAGAAATACGCTGATGTAAAGACAAGGCCACTAGCAGCAGCAGCAACGAAAAACCCCGAAAGGAGCATCGATTTTTTGCGGGTATGTACCCTTGACGCTGCGTGCGACACTGTGGGCACGTCAACGCGATTCGCGCTTGACACATTACCTGCCTGATATGTACATCGATCACTATTACCCCGGCTTAACAGAGAGTCGAGGGTAACGGTAGAGCTGTGTGGTCGTGCATCATCACGAGGTCTGCCCTTCTCCCGCTGCTCGATACGATCCAGATCAACCCAGCCGCAAGCGAAAGGGACTTGTATGTGTATGTTGCCCGGTCGATTGTGGCGTTCGACCAAATGGCGTTCGAGAAAGCGTGCAAGGACAGTGCGGCCTGCGAACAATCGAGCGATCATGAGCCTTGCTTAGAGAACAGAGGCGGTGTTACCCCGCAAGGTAACCCCCCCCAGACGGAAGAGGTGTCAGATGCTATGGTGGCCGGGTTAAACGATGGCCTGTTCGACTTCGGGCAGCTTCAAGAAGCCGTCGATCGGTGAGCAAGGTCCAACTTTGCTTGACGAATGGTTTCGAGTGTCATGCGACAACTGTATACCCACCTTGTTCCACTCTGTTGGCTGACCCCTCTTTCCGCTCTCGATCTTGGCAGCATGGACGCTCTCCAAGCTTTCACATACCCTTGTCACGACGTTTCCTTTTCTCCTCGTGGCCGGCCTTTACCTACCTGCATGATGAGCAGACCAAACATTCGCACGGGCGTCGGCGGCCTCATCATTAACATGTAAGTAAACTTGATTAACGTGCCCCCGACTGCTAAAAACAGCAAGCAAGTTCCTGTGTAAATTGCGTGCGATACCTCAGGCTCCGTTGACCTTTGAGCACAACAAATTTTTAATTTTGCACTTTGCCATACGAAAACCTTCGTGTAGTGGAGAATTTGTACTAGCATCCAATGATGACTCGCGACACTCTTCATGCTGGTTCCGTAGTCTCTACAATGACATGTTCCGCGTGTGACAGGATCCTGGCATACCAAAACGCAGCGAGCGAGAACGCTTGTGGGGCTTTGGAGAGGTTAGGGCATTGCGTCGAGGTACTCGAGAGGTACCCAGGCCTGTGTCGCTGCGTGATACAGTGGTGAGCCGATCGTATGAGCACCACCAACGCTGACATTGATACTCTGGCTACGATCCAAGCTCGGGGACAAACTACGCCACTAGTCTGGACGCCAAGACGAGTACCCCTTGAGTCCGTATTGGTTGTTCAATGTATGTAAATATCTGTGAGGGCTTTTTCCTGGCATGCATGCGATCTCGACTGCTGGTTCTGTGAGACTAGCCATAGACATTTTTGGCGTTCGTCACACAGGCGTGCCAAGGCATTCTCATCTTGTGTTTCTGCCCCCCATCGCATGCGTACCTCCTACCATGTAAAGGTGTCACCTTGCACACGGTATCCTGGGGGCCCTAGCAACGATTGATGATTCCAGAGCTCAAGGACTGTACAACCGGTTGCAGGGTGTCTACAATCGTTTTCGCCCTCATGCCTATCTGCCAGCGCCCCCGTTGGAGAAGTGGCGTGGGATATCTGCATTCTGCGATCATTTCCAGTGCAGGTGCGTTGGGGGGTTGATATCCTGCTAGGTACATGCACAACAGTTCGTCTATAACGCCCCCCCCCCGAGCCTAAACTTGTATTCGGGATAGGTAGCTTGTCCGAAATGCACATGCTTTGTTGCACGTGTGAGACGGAAGGAAGTCGAAGGCCTCTGACCTGTACCACGTGCAGTGAATGGTTGTGACTTGTGCTGCGCAGTCCCGACACGTTTTCGATGGTAATATTAGTCTAAAAGCACTTGAAAAAATAACGTGTGTGTGGGCAGACGAAGGGAGAGCTACCAAAATCGCCCGGTCCTATTCTTCCATGTCCGTCCATCCTCCCGCAAACGAAACGAGGCAACTAACTGCGGCCTGTTGTGCGGGTATTGCCGTGCGTACATACATGTGCTGTTGCACGTGTCTGAGAACAAAAAGCTGAGGCGTCTGATCTGTACTTTGAGTTTTATAGGCGTTGTTCCAACAGGGAGATGCAAATCCACAGCGGCAGCAGCGGCTAGCTGTGGTGTATAGGAGCAACCTGGAAGGAGATTGTACTGACCATGGCTGGCACTCTTGCATTTTCCGTCAGATGACAAGTTCCCCCAAGAGGGTAAACTACATTCAAACTTCCAATTTTTCATGTGGTTGGGGCACATTCCTGAGGAGGTTTTAGAGTTGAGTGCCTGTCGGGAATTCCTCTGCCTTGTGTTCCTCAAGAGGGAGATGCACATCTACAGCAGTGGCTGTTGTCTAGTTACAACATCAGTCAGTATGGAATGGGACGAAAATATTGCTCTGCCTTGTGTTCGCTACAAGGAAGATGGATATCTGTCTACAGTACAGCAGCGGCTGCGGTCCACAGCCCAGTCGGGAAGGAGAAAAACAAAAGCATCCTGTAGTCCACAGCAGAGTCTAGAAGGAGACCAAAGCTTCCGCAAGGGTATACTTATGTTTGCTCAAGAATTCTGGATTATCTTCCTGCGGGCAACAAAGAAAAACCAAGATACGAAAAAAATAATTGAGAGCGCAGATGAAGCGCCTTCTTGCTCCCAACGTTCCTCATCGGACTAACCCGCTAGTAACCTGCCTAGGTTGCCCTACTATTCATCCTTTTGTTTTCGGCCTCTGGCCTAAACAGATCTTCCTCAATAGCTCTACTCCTATACACTGAATACCCTCTAGTCGTCGACCGACTAGCCCCCCCCAGGCTCCCCCCTCTCTTGAGCGATAGGTGTGGGTTGGCGGGAACATCGATCAATTCCTGGAAGGCACCCCGTGTCTGCTGCTCCTCAGACCTGCTATCTAACTGAAGCCTCTTCTCTCAAGTACGCGTTGGCTTGCCTCTCGGCCAGCGAGAACACACAAAATTTCCGACCTCGTGGTGATCGTTAATTTCCCCGCATCCCCCCCCCCCCCGGTGTTTGTCATCGGGGTTGGGTTTTCGTCGCTTGGCAACGACGTTGTAAAACAAGCCCCCCCCTCGGTGTTTGCCATCGGGATTGGGTTTTCGTCGCTTGGCAACGACGTTGTAAAACAAGCCAATTCACTTCGTGAACTCGGCAACCAGGTTACCGTTTTTTTTTTTTACCTCGGTTTTTTTTTTTTTGGCGGTAACCATAATGGTGGTCGAGTAGATCATGTTGTGCGGGGTCGAGAAACCTCACTCCGCGCAACGGGGGATGATCGTACCACGTTGTGTTAAAATGGTCAAGCTTCCTCGAGGCAGTTACACAGTGCTTATAACTGTCTCTGGAAGTGAAAGCACCAGAAAATAAATTAAGTCATACGTAGCTGTCATCCGTACGCAAGGAAGTAAGCACAAGATGCCGAACACCCTTAGCAGGATGCAGCTCACCCTTCATGCGACTCGCCAAATACCTCACGGCGCTTCGCGCTTGGTGATGTGAGAGCCTGGTCCGGTGAGAACCCGGCGTGCTCCGTCCCGGCTTTGTAGGGATGCGAGGTCAATGGTCAAACGACTACGGCATGCACGACTATGAGTACACCCCCCCCCCCCCCCCCGGAAC